TCCCTTCCATTCCTCCCTGAAACCCCCATACCCAAAACAAACAAACAAACAAAAAGGTGAAAAGGAGGTGGCAGCCCACGTAAAGAGGGGGAAATGAAACAACAACAAAAAAAAAAAACTGAAAAAAAAAAAAAAAAGAAACAGAAGAAAAACGCATGTGCCAAAAAGAAGCAGGAAAAAAAAAAAAAAAACAAAAAACGAGAAAGAAGAGGGGAGAATGCCCCACTCTCCTCCTTCCCTCTTCCCCTCTTCTTTCTCGTTTTTTGTTTTTTTTTCTTCTTTTTATCCGCGCTACTTTTTTTTTTTTTTTTTTTTTTTTGGCAACAGGAAAAGAACAGGAGAGGGTTGGCAGGGCAGTGGAGGAATGAAGGGAGGGATGGAGGGGGACAAAACAAAAATTAGTGAGCGGAATTGCAACAGCGGCAGTAGGAGCCGGGAGATTAACAAAAAAAAAAAAAAAAGAGAAGGAAAGAAATAAAGAGAGAGAGAGAGATGTACGAAGCAAGTGAAAGAAAAAAGAAAAAAAGGAAGAAAAAGAAAGAGAAAGAATGACTTTCAGGCACAATCAACGGCAGAGACAAAAAAAAAAAGAAAAAGAAAAAAAAACATAACAGACCTGCAAGCAAACCAGACACTCATCCACAGCACTAGCGGAGGGGGAAAAGCAGCTGCAAGACATGAGAAGAAAAGTGGTATGAGGGATATGAAGGCCAGGGAAAAAACCTCCCCCCTTAAATGAATAAATACATAAAATGTGTGTCTGCTCTTTTCTTTTCTCTCCTCTTTTTTTTTTTTTTTCTTTCTTCTTATTTACATTGATGTATTCATCTTTCTCGTATATACATATCCTACTAAGCGCACACTCTCTCTTGCGTCTACTCGTTCTCTATCAATATATATATATATATTTCTGTGTGTGTCTGTGTGTGTGTTGCTGTAATGGTGTGCATGCATGTATTATACATATATATATATGGGTGCACCTTTTCCCTCCCCTCTGTGATTATTATTATTATTATTATTATTATTATTATTATTTTGTTTGTTTTCGCATCGAGATGGTGTTTATTGTCTGCGAGGAGAGAGAAAGAGAAAGAGAGGAAGAGAAGGGAAGGAAAAAAGGAGAGGGGAGGAGGAGGGGAAGGGAGCAGGGGAAATGTGCTCAAACGCTGCTCTCTTCAAATTCAACCATCACGTACGCCGCATGCGCATTGCACAGCGAGCTTTAAAAGTAAAAAAAAAAAAAAAAGGAAAAAAAAGAAAAAAGGAAAAAGGAAAGAAGCGAAAACAAAAGAAAAGAAAAAGAAAGTAGGAGAAGAAAACAAACAAACAAACAAACAAAAAAAAAAAAAGAACTGAAGGAGAGATGGAAGGAACGCAAAGAAGGAGGAAGAAGGAGGAATGCGGAAACAACAAACAAAACAGAAGGCACAAAGCCAACTATTTCTTTCTGTGTCTGTGTGTTTTTGTCTGTGTGTTTGTGTGCTTTTGTGTAAAGCTGATTCTGTGTGTCATTTATACACACACCGCGATCTTTTTCCTTTATTGTAAGTGCGTGTTTTTTTTTTATTATTGCCGCTGCGTGTCTTGTGTAACATTTTGTTTACACCTTCCCTCCTTCTTTCTCTCTCTCTCTCTTTTTTTTTTTTTTTTTTTTGTTCTTTCGCTATTTACTGGTCTTACTGTGTGCCTGTGCCTGTGTGAGAGAGGGAAATAGAGAGAGAGAGAGAGAGATGAATTCCATACAGTTAGATGAATATGACCTCTACGCTGTTGACAGGACATTTATTCTGTCACTTTTTCACGGATTCTGCACGGCTGTGCCAGGAAGCGTGCGACAGGAACTTGTCACCACAGAGGCTGACGCCGTGCAGTTTGTCATGATACTGCGGCCAAGGCTGACGAGTTTCACGCATCGTAGCAACATCTCCTTACGACATCCGGCTGTATCGATGGCGGCGCGTTTGTATTACAACGAGCTGCGCGCTTTCATCCGGGAGGAGTCACGATTTACTGGCGACAGCGCCATAACGAGAAACGTGCCGGTGGTTGGGAGCAGTGCCTCTGGACGTGAAAATCTGGGGGAGCGGGGGGGCTCCTCCTACACGTCATGGCCGGGGGTGACAACCAAACCCATCACGGCGGAACAGTTGACTCAAAATAACTGGGAGCTTATGGGGTCCTGCCATGATGCCTTGCTGCGGAATTCGCAACCCCGCCCTATTGCAGTCTACGCCATCGCGTCCAATGATTTAGTAAATGATATTATCTGCCGCTACTGGGAGCGGATTACAGTTCCTTCAGGCAGTGTGGGATTTCGCCCCAGCTTCGCATCCGGCAGCAACGAGGCTTCCAAAACTTTCACGTTTACAGAGAGTGGCAGTGGGATACATGCAACGTATATGACGGCATTACAGTATATTTACCTTCATCTTCGCATAGCGGGTATTTTACTTCCGCCATCCTCGTTGCAGACGGAGATTTTGGACTCTATTATTCTTGACCTTCGCGTGGATGCGATGTTAACCGGGAAAACGGGAGGGTTGTCGTTTGGAAGACCACCAGAATATTTTGGTTATAGACCCACCGATGATGAATTCGATGATGATTCCGTCGGATTGGAATCGGCACCCAACGACCCCCTTCATCCAGTTAATGAGAATCTCATACAAATGGTAGAGCCTTCAGAGGCGTCAAAGTTTCCTTTTAATGTGAATAACTTTAGGACGTCCCTCGATGACCTTCCAGACATTAGTTTTGGGCAGTTCTGGATATCCATGCTGGAGCTTTCGGACAACTGGACAAGTACCTCTCATCCAATGGAACATGCCATTTTTTTAATGGAGCTCTATTGCGAGGTGTTTGCCCACGAATGGGACGATGAGGAATTATCCCTCCTGAAGGCGTTGCGCGCCAATGCCGAAACCCGCCACCAGGAGGATGCCTTCTCACTCATGGATGATGAAGAACGGAGTTTTCACATACTCTCCGAATTCAACCACATGGTGTCTTCTATTGATGAATTCGCAATGTCGGGATTATTGTACCAACCGAACCTGATGCCTTTTCCGAAGAAGACTTTGGTCGCTGCTGAGGCTCTCTTTGATCATGTCTCCAACATGGCAACGGTTTCATTCCAGGGATCAATGAGTAATGTGCGGCCTTCCACGGCTGGATCAATCTGGTCAGAGAGCAAGCAAGAAGGACAATTGTCCAGGCAACAGCTTGAGAAACTCCAATTGATTGCGAGCGATAGCAGTACCTTGCGTGGGCGTCACAGCGAGGGCGACGAAGATGCAACGGAGTACGCAACTGGGAAGAAGAGAAAGGAAAAGGAGGAGAAGAAAAGGTTATACCACGAAGGCAGACACATGGATGTGGATAAAGAGATCCTTGACAAAGGCGAAGGTGTACGAGAAGACGCACATCGGCGAAGCAGTAGAGATCGAAAGAAACAGCTCCGAATCAGCAGAAGTCTCCGGGAAGAAGAGGAAGGAAAGGAAGAAGAGGATGAAGGCTACGATGACAAGCATGCGGTGGATAGAGAAGGAAGGAGAAGAAGGAAAAAGGAAGCCGGCGAAGGGCGTTCTCGTCAAGGTGACATTCTTGATAATGAAAGTCGGGGGAGGCGGTATAGAATTGGAAGGGATGGAAAACGTCTCTCTTGGCGTGATTCGGAGGAGTCCTCTGAGTCCATGTATGCATATGATTCATCCGATCCAATTAGTCAGCGAGCAGGTGCCTATAAAAAGGACCATCTGCATCGCCGTTACCCCACAAAAGCGTTTCATGACTACGAAGGGAGGGAAGATGAGGAGTACACGATGGGTGCCGATGGCGTCCGCCGCCGCAGCAGGAGGGGAGGACCACGTCGAAGTGGCTATTCAAAAAGTGACAAAGACGCCGAGGGCGGGGAGGATGACAAGGATTCATGGAGCACGCAATCGAGTTCGTTTTATTCTGTGCCCGATGATGAGCTGACACCCACTTCGCTGTCGCGTCGGCAAAAGGAGCGAGAGCGAAAACAAGCTGAGCATTTGCTAAGACGTCGTAAGCAGCAGGAGGCGAGGCAGCGTCGATCCAAAATGCCTACAGCGGCAGAGATAGCAGAGAAGCGTAAGAAGATTGTGCAAACCTTGCAGATGAAGGGTATCCTCATTAGTGGCGACGCTCTTACAGATGATGACATTGCAGAACTTGGTGATGAAACTATTAGTGAAGAGTTGCTGCGGCGAGTATTGTTAGACGCTGGGTACGCGATCGATGAGATAAAGGAGTCCGACTTTCTGCATATATTGTTGGGTGACAAGGAGCCACAGCCCGCTGACGTAAATGCAGAGGAACGAAGTCATGTCCTCGCCGCACTTCGCGCTCAGCCGTCGCGGCGGCCGCCCGAGACAGAGTACGCTCGTCGTCGCCGAGAGGCGCAGGAGAAATTGCTGCGTGAAGAGAGGAGGGCTGCTGCAAAGAAACTAAGGGAAGAACGCCGTCTTGCAATTAAAAAACATGAGGAGGAAAGTTATATTCGAGAAGAGGCCGATGAGTTAAAACCGCCTTTTTCTTCTTTGGAGGATGTGGAAGTTTTGGGGTTACCGGGCCCCGGCCTTGGGCCTGTCGCACCACGACGACCGCCGCCTCGCCGCGAGGGGCCGCAGCCAATTGTGATGCCGCAGCCAGTGCAGCTTGAGAACTTATTGCTCACGCGGATGTGGAGGCCCGTTGTGTGGCGTGGCGTACAGCGACGTGTGAGGGGAAAAATGCCAACGCGTCGGCAGGTGCTGGGAGAGGAAGAAATGGAACTGAAATCGTTTTCCCAGCTGGTGATAGAGAAACCATCCAAAGGGAAGCCGGCAGGGTTGCATGAGCATTCACCGACACAGTTGGAAATGTTTTATCGCGGTATTCGCCCGGATCGGCTTGTAAAGGGACGTGTCCCGTTGGCGCAACCGACATCTATCCTTGGTGGCACATATCATCAGTTGCCCTCGATTCATTCGCATGGGAAAGGAGGGCTGGATTTGCAAGGTGGCCTGAAGACAACGCCGCCACCACCGCGCCAGTGTGCACCTGTCAAACTCTTTTCACTGACGACGAAAAAAACTTTTGCTGGGGCGCTTAAAGAGAGCTTGCAGCGCTACATTGATGACAAGGAGTACCTGGATGTTATATACCGGAGTTATTTGAGGTGAGACAGACTTCACGACATTTATTTTTATAAATATCGATATCTCTGTATGGATGAGGAGGGAGAAGGCACAAGGAGGATTGCGTCTTTTTTTTCTTTTTTTTTTTCGTTCTTTTCTCTTTTTTCTGTTTGATACCAAACCATGATGTTTCTCATGTATAATAATGTCGTACCATCGCCCGCAGGCTTTGGCTGGATTATATGTCATCTTTATTCCATTTGTTCTTCCCACCACTCTGCCAAATGTTGTGCTGCGTGCTTGACTGGTTTTCCCCCCTTTTTCTACATTCCTTTTCTTTCTCTCTTATTGCTCACGTGCCTACCAATATTGTACCTCCGTGTTAATTATTAGATTTGTGGATATTTATAGTCAAGGAAAAAGGAAGGAATATAAAAAAAAAAAAAGGAACAAAGAAGAGACACATACACACATACACACGCACGCACAAAGGAAGTTAAGCGGCAGGAGCATCCGAATTCTGTTCATTTACAAAACACGCACGGGTCTTTTTATATTTAAATTTATATATATTACAGCTGTGATATGGTGGCTTTACAAGCGGTCATGTATCGAGTTTTTCTGCTGCTTTTTGTTGTGGCATTTCTCTTTATCGTACCAGCACGCCCGAATATTGAAGTATTGAGTAGCGAAACACAAGATGATGTGGTGGAATTACACAATGATATCTTTGATGCTCATGTCTTTCCGAGTGGAGGACAAATCCAGCCGCAGTCGTGGTTTATTTTCTTTTACGCTCCATGGTGTGCTCATTGCAAGTCTCTATTGCCACAATTTGCCAACGCCAGTCGTCTACTGAACCAGATCGATATGTCACATGCAAGGTTTGCCGTGGTGAATGCCGTAAAGCAGAAGGAACTTGCATCACGCTTTGAAGTCCACGAATATCCAACGTTTGTTTATACGACAGGTAAGGAGGGACGCTGGCATAAGTTTCATGGTGGTTACAGCTTGGATAGCTTTGTTCAGTTTAGCATTTACCTTCAGCGTTCTGTGGAGGCAGGCTCCTTTGCCGACGTCGTGTCTGACCCGCTGCGATTTAAAGAGGTGGAGTTACAGCTGGCAGATGGACGTGTACCAATGTTTGTTTATGTGCCGGCAAAAGGCACATCAAAATCAGTATTGGAAAGACAGGCAGTGACACGTGACGCACAGTGGAATATCGCCGTTGATGCGGCAGCCTCGTTGGGCAACATCCGCTTTGGCGTTCTCTACGGCGATGATGTGCCGGAGGATTGGGCAAAAAAGGGGATCACGTCGTATGTTGCGGTCATTGAGGCGGGGCGACGTTGTAAAGGCAGCGGTCCGGACGGTGAAGTGTTCATTGTGTACACCGATGCATACAGGAGCCCACGGTGCTACGAGGACAGTTCATGGTTTGCGGAATCCAGTAGTGAGAATGTGGGAAACATCAAGGGAGCGGGTTCATTCAAGATCCATCCGTCATTTGAGGCCTTCATCCTGCATCACGGCTTTCGCGCCGTGGAGGATATGACGCCGGGTTTTTTCTCAGTGATATCCGGCTTCAATCACCATTACTTTGGCCTCATTGTCACAGATGGCCCTGTGACGCAGAGCGACACCACCATGATGCCCGTCCTGCGTGCCATTGTGCAGGAGCGAAATGGGGCTCGCGCCATGAACACATCCATTGCTTCCATGGAGGGTAAAAAGAATCACTGCCGCATTTCATTGGCACATGCCGACGGACGTTCACGTGCCGTTTGGCGTACGCGCTACCACATTGAGTTGGACGAGCTTCCAGCGTTTGTTGTTGTTGACCCGCGACGCGACAAGGTGTATCGTCTGCGTCGCCACACCCCACACTTCGAGGATATCAAGTCTCAGCTGCCGTGGCGCATGGGCGGCGAGCAGAAGCAGATGATCGCCGCCTTTTTGGATGACGTCGAACACGGGAAGGCGCCAGGGGAAAAAATGTCATTGATTGGTGACGTGGCGGAGTATCTGCTGCTCCTTCCTGGGATGGAGTTTGTGTACGAGACACTGGGATACGAGGATGCCCTTTTTATCACCATGACGTTTGCATTCGCCTTTTTCAGCTTCTTGCTGTTCCTTGCGCTTGTGGTGGAGCCGATAATGGAAAGGTACACGGCCGTTCATGCAAAGACGGACTAAACGGAAGTATAATGTGCAGGGGGGAGTATAGGAAAGGAATAAAAAAGAAAAAAAAAGTGAATTGAACGGCGAGCGGCGAGCAGCCACGCTCTCTTCTCTCTTTTTATCTGTTGGCGCCATTGCCATCTATGTTCAATGTGTGCTTTTTTTTTTTTGTTTTTTTTTGTTTCGTCTTCCTCCTTACCACGCCGTGCTGTGGCGATGAAAGAAACGTATCGAACCGGTTTATTCGCACACTCACAAAAAGAAGAAAAAAAATAAAATAAAAGAAATAAAAGGAGAGGAGGCGGGTGGAGCCTCTTTTACACGCATTCATACGGTTTACCTACCCACCTTACCCACCGACAGGCATACAGGCATACAGAGATTGTGTACTGCTTGAAATATTGTGGTGGTTGCACTGTTATCCACACAGGGAGCGAAGGAAATAGAGAAATAAAAATCTATTGAATAAACATCGACATGTTGCGTCGGTCATACCTTCTGTTTTGCGTTCCACACCTCTCCGCTGTGTACGGGCGCAGCTTTACCGTCTCTAGTCGTGTCTGGCACCGCATTAACGAGAAGAATGGAGAGGAGGGCTTCCAAAACGACCAGCGTTTCCTACGCCTTGCGGTGGATTCGGGTGGCTGCCACGGCTATAAGTACCATTTCTCCTTTGAAGAGAACGACGCTCTTGTGCCGGAGGAGGACGTTGTCGTCGCCGAGACGGATGTTTTGCCTGTTGGCGCTGAGGGCCGTAGTGGGGTGGAGCCACCACCGCGAGTGGTCGTCGACAGGCACTCGTTGACAAAGCTGCAGGCAGCAGTCATTGACTTTCACTCTGAATTGAAAGGGGCCGCTTTTGTGGTGGTTGGAAACGAGTTGGTTGACGAATCCTGCGCGTGTGCCATGTCATTTTCGATTAAAAAGCGGCAGCCTCAAAAGTAATTAACGTAATTATTTTTATATGATTACTGGTATATATATAATATATATAATATATATATATGTGCGCTTTCATGCCTGTCTATATGCTTCTGGATGAGGAGGAGGAGGAGGATTGTTTTGTTGCTGTCTTTGCGATAAGGAAGAGGAAAAAAACAAAAAACGGCAAATGACAAAGAAAGAACACAGTGGATTGCGTTGCAATGTTCATAAGCCCGTGTATCGATGCGTGTGCGTGTGTGTGTGTCTTTGATTTGGATTCACTCACTTCTTTTTTTTTAGATTATTTTTTGCCTTTTGGCTAGTGAGCACTTCCAATGAGTGGCCGAATAGAGAATGACCGCCACCACCACCACCACCAGCAGCAGCAACAACAACAACAACAACAACAACAACAACAGCCGTATCTCATCATGCGGCTGAATCGTAAGCCTGCTGTCGGTCCATCATGTCGTGTGGCTTGCAACGATTTGGTTTCATGCGGGGCCGTCCACCATGAGCCGAGCAGCCGCAGCAGTTGTGATGGCTGCTGCCCCTCCATGTTGTCACCGCTGATGGACGCGGCGTGTGCGGATCCGACGGTGTCGCCTGCTTCAGTGCCAGAAATGAAGTCCCGTTCCTCCTTCTCTTCCACACCACCAACATCACCGCCCTACTGCGTGGGGGGCAGTCACGCTACGCGGAGGGAACGGCATTGGGGCAACACGCAGCGATTCCATTCACGCAGCGCGCATATCACACGGGCCGTGTCTTGTCACCTCGAGGGCGGCGCCGCACTTGTCACTGGCGGCCCACTTCTTTTATTTGCCGGGCGACGGACTGCACCGAGTGGCACACGCACGGCGATGGAACAGCACCTGCAACTCTTTCGCGACCCAACGGTGACGGCCGCTCCAGCGCAAAATGGCAACAAGACACCAATCCCTGCTGCTGGTACCGCTCATTGCCGGCAGGCGCGTCTCGTCATGCTTCGTGGCAACGGGCCGCTGTGGTGAATGAATGGCCGTTGCGGCCGAGCGGGTCACTGTGTTAACGTCTTGCCGCCAGCCTACCATAGAATGATTGACTGCACGAATTGTTTGGGCAGTTTTTTTTTGGTCTTTTTTCTCTTCCCCTTCTTTTGGCACACGAAAGAGACGTCTTGTGGGATGAGACGTGCCATTTCGCTGGCAAGACACGTTGAGCTGTGACGAAGGGAATTTCTTTCTTTCTTTCTCTATTACTTGCTTGCTGGGTAGAAACACCTCATTTCTCTTTTTTTTTTTTTTTTTTTAGAAACAAATTGCTTATTTTTCCGTGGCAACCGGAAAACGTGCGCGGGGAGGGTGTGCTGGCAGCGGGGACTGAGAGAATAGGGCTCCAAGAAAAACAAGGCACAGTGCACACAGATCCAAAAACACAAGAAAAAAAAAAAATAAATATATATATATATATATCCATCTCTCTCTCTATATATATAAGTACTTCTGAATTTTGTTTATATGTCTAGTAGAAGCGATCCATTTGCGCCAGCCGCTTCGGCGAAGACTCCGCCCCGTACCGCTTTGGGGCTGTGGCGGTGCATTCTGACGCCTCACTCCCGCACCGCCTCGTCGAAGGAGGACGCCAACCCGCCACCGCAGGACTCCGGTGAAGCCGTGTCTGCGGATGATGTGACTGCGGGTAGTTCCACCGGAGGATACTGGAGCCTGGGGCTCGGAAAGACATGCTCCCCAGACGTCCTTCAGCAAAAACCCGCTAGAGGGACAAATCTATTTAAGCGACTCAAAAACATTTTGACTCCGTCGCATGAGAGCCGGGCGCAGCCGCACGAAAGCGATGCCCGTCATGAGCCGTATAGCGATGTTTCTTTTGAAGAAGTGGTAGAGGGAGATCCAAGCGGTGACGCCAACCACCAGACGGGGTTGGTGGATGTAGAGGCGATGGGGACAACGGGGGCGGAGGAGTGCTATTACTACACAACGGAGGATGGGGAGGTCTACTGCGTTGACCCCGCCTCAATTGAGTATCAAGGGGCGTACCAACAGCAGGAAGCGGAGGAGGAAAAGGAGGGGGCGGTGGAAAACGACAATGAGGACCAACAACAAAGACAACACCACCAACTGCAGCAGCAACAGCAGGGAGAAGAAGAACACAGTGAGCATCGTCAAGGCGAGGAAGAAGAAGGAGGGGGACAGGAGGAACATTCAAAAGGGCCATTACGTCTGAGAGGAAAGGTGGCAAAGGCTTTAGCCGGCGAAGAGACGAAGCGGCGACGGCAGCTGCAGGAAGACTGCATGATTGTTCTTACAGACATTGGCCGTGTGTACAGAGGTTTGGCCCGCACCGTCGCAGCTTTCGAAAAGGAAATGGAAGCGCAGCGGCATGCATTAAAACAGCTGGAAAAGGAAGCCGTGAAGCAGGCGAATGCAGTGGAGGCCGAGTGGAAAAAAGAGCATGCGGAGCTGAGCCGTACATTTCGTGTTGAAATGGAGTTGGCGAAGAGGCGGCATGCGAAGAGGGCAGATCCGACTCTTTCTTCCTGACGGTTATATAAACATATATATGTGTGAATGTAAATATGAATGTAAGCACGCAGGGACAACATTTTTGTGTGTGTTTTTGTGGATTTCCTCTTTTTTTAATATCCGCGAGTGGGAGGCATCTTTACACAAGTGGACGTGCATGCATGCGTGTCACAATGAGAGAGTGAGAGTGTGTGAGAGGGGGGGGGGGGGGGGGAGGGGTTAGCTGCAGCGGAATTTTTCAGTGGTACTTTTTTTTTTAATGTTCTTTTTTTTTTTTTTTTTTTTTCTTTTTGCGTTAATTCACCGCTTTCCTTCCCCTCCCCTCCTCCTTCTTTTTTTTCCCTCTTTTCTCGTCGCTTCCAGCAGCAGCAGCAGCAGCGGGTCCTGTTTTTTTCTTTTTTTTTAGCGTTTTTTTCTCCCACCGCTGCACTTAAACTCTTGTGTGCATGTCTGCGTATTTACTCCATGGCAGCAGCGGTGCTGTTGTTGTGTCTTGTCGTTGCTGCCGCTTTCTTTTCTTTATTTTTCTCTCCACCTCCTCCATATATCTGTATATGTACACTCACACATTTTTGTGCATTTGTGTATGTATTTTGATTGCACACATCCGAAAGTGAGAGGCACGCGCATTCACGTATTGTAGGGGGAGAGAAGAAGTGGCTGCAGAAGAAGAAATAAATAAATAAATAAATAAATAAATAAATCGAAAAAGAAAGAGAAACAAAAAAAAAAAAAAAAAAGAAAACAAAAGAAAAGGAGGAAGAAGACGAGGAGATGTCTGTCAGTTTCTCCACGCTTGTGCAACGGGCACGGCCGGCGTCAAACCACGCGACGACGCAGGCGCTGCGGAGTGTAATTGCAAAAATACCGCCAACGAACATCAGCAGCGTCGGGAAGGGTGTACGGGTGGCATGCGAGGAAAACCCGCTTGCGTCTGTTGCCACTGTCGGGGTGTGGCTCGATGCGGGCACGCGCCACGAGCCGGCGCATTATGCCGGGACGGCGCGTGTGCTGCAGAAGTGCGGGCTGCTCGGGACAACGAACCAGACGGGGGCGCAGATTGCAAAGGCGCTTGACGAAATCGGCGGGCAACTCACCGTGCAGGTGGGCCGTGAACAGACCCATCTGTACATGCGCGTGACGAAGCAGAACACGGAGCGGGCCGTTGGGCTTCTCGCCGACGTGGTGCGTAACGCCCGCCTGGCCGACGAGGATATCCAGGCAGCGAAGCAGGCCGTACTGAAGGAACAACACGAGTTTGAAGAGCGGCCAGATGACGTCTGCATGGACAATTTGTACCGTTGCGCCTTTGATAGCACCTCGCACGGCCTCGGAACCCCATTCTACGGCACAGAGACGGGCGTCGCACGGGTGACGGCGGAGCAGCTCAAGTCTTACCGCAGCAGTGCTCTCCACGCAAACCGCGTGGTTGTTGTCGGCAGCGGGGCGGTGGACCACACCGCATTGGAGCGTGCCGCCGCCAGCCACTTTGGCGATCTCGTTGCAGCCCCCACAAAGTCAGCCGGCTTTCCGGAGGCGCGCTACGTGGGCGGCGAGTACAAGCTGTGGAACCTGCGCTACAAGACTGTCCACATTGCGTGGGGGTTTGAGACATGTGGGGCGGCGTGCGAGGACTCCCTGCCGCTGGCCCTCGCGTGTGAGATTCCCGGCCCGTTTCATCGCTCGCAGCATGAATTGGGTCAACACGCGATGCACCGTGTGCTCAAGACCTTTTCTTCCCTTGATCACAGCACTCCGACCAACACACACTTTAATGAAAAGTGTATTGAGATTGCAAATCCGTTCCTGCAGCAATATAAGGATACGGGGCTCTGCGGCATGTACATTGTGGGTCGTCCTGCGCAGAGTGGCCCAGGCGATGCCGGTGCCATGGTTGAGGTGTTCCAGTACACCATGGCGGAATGGTGCCGCATATGCCAAAAGATGTTACACCAGCATGAACTTGAACAAGCCAAGGTGAACCTTAAATCACAACTCCTGTTTAACATGGACGGCAGCACCAATTCCGCGGAGGATATCGGCAAGCAAGTGCTACATTACGGTCGTCGTATTTCACTGGAGGAGATGTACGCCCGCATTGACGACGTGACCCCTACAAACGTTCAGGAAGTGTTGCAACACTATTTCTACAGTCGCAAGCCGGTGTACAGTTACCTTGGCTACTGTGCCTATATCCCTGGCTACGACTGGACACAACATTGGTCGTACAAGTACTGGTACTAAGCCTGGAAAAGGGGAGGGGGGAATGATGAGACGAAGAAGAGAGAAGAACAGCAATGAAAGAAAGAAAAAGAAAAAAAAAAAAAAAAAAAAAGAAACGGAGGAATTTAGGGAAATAAAAAAAAAAAAAATATGAAACAGATGATACAATGAGAAATAGGGGGTTTTGGACAGGATTCAGGGAGACGGATTTAGGCAATGGACATAGAGAGAGGGAGGGAGAAGGGGAGAGAGAAGAGGAGAGGTACGTAGTGAATTTCCCTTTTTTTTCTTTTTTATTGCAATGTTTGAGGTGGGTAATGTGAGTGGGATCAAAGGGAGGCCCTATATATAAATATATATATGTATAGATGTCGTTACTGGTATGTAATGTTACACGTAGAGGAGTTGAAATGGGGTGCAGGTCACCGAAGGGAGAGGGGAGGGAGGTGGGTTGGGGGAATGTCATTACAATGTAGCCAAATTATATCTGCTGGACAACATACACACAGAAACACACACACATATATATATATATGTATACACATACATCAATGAAAAGACATTTACTTTTGATATGTCTTGTAACAGCGCCTAAGAAAGAAAAAAAAAAAAAAAAAAGAGAGAGAGAGAGAGAGAGAAAGAAGGATTTGTCTTTTAAAAATTGTTACTTGTAGAATGTGTGTGTTTCTCTGTATGTTTTTTTGTCTTTTTTTTTGGCCTGGTTGATTCTTAATTAGAGATGCACATTCCGTGAATGTTTCTTTTTCCCTTTCTCTCTCTTTTTAACAAATTTCTTTTCTTCTCTTTTTTTTTTTTTTTTTTTAGCTGACCGTTCATCCACATATTTGTTTTTCTTTTCTCCGTGTTTTGTTCTCTCTCTCTCTCTCTCTCTCTCTCTCCGTGTGTGTGTGTGTGTGTGTGTGCATGTTGGTGTTTATATGCATACATTGTGTGCATGTATGTCTCATCACTATTTACGAATGATCTCCGTGGGCCTTTTTTTTTTTTTTCTTTTCTTTCTCTCTCTCTCTTTTTCTTTCTCTCTATGTAATATATGCATGTATTTATAAATATGACACGTAAAGAGGCTCGGGACGGACAGTGGAATCCCCAACAGGCCGCAACATAGCAAACGGCGAAAGACCGTACACACAGACATAAATATACCTCTGTGCATATATATATATCTTTATATATCTTTACATATATATATTTATAGTTTTTTAGTAGGCCGCCCCGTGCACGGAGTCTTAGTGTTCTTGGGGTGAAGGTGGGGCGCGGGGAGGGGAGGAACAGAAAGAAAGAAGGAAAGAGAAAAGAGATGCAGGCGATTGCAGCGATGGTTCGGGAGAAAATCCGGCGCCAGACTCCCGCCGGAATTCGTTCCAACAATACCGCACGACACCGCCACGAGCGGCATGAAGCGCCACCACCAGCGACATCGCATTTGTCGACATCGTCGTCACGTCCATCCCCGCAGCGAGTGGAGGCTGCCGGTGGGAAGAGGACAGGCCATGAACTCCCCAACAACACTCATAAGAGCAGCACCGGCGTCAATGACAACGGCGACGGCTTCGGCAACACGACAGTTGCGCCATGTTGGCTGTGCGCTCGACCTGCCAATTACCACCTCGCCGAGGAATTTATTCTCTGCTTTTCCTGCTTTCGGCTCGTGATACGCGCGTACATATTTCCTCTTATTGACACACGGGAGCGGCGCAAAAGCGACGCCGCCTTCATTGCGAAACTTTGGCAGCTTTCGGTGACGCAGTCGCCCTCGCCTGCGGTGGTGGCGCCACCACCGCAGGAAACCGAGGCCTCATCGGACGGGAAATTGCGGGGCATAACGTGCGACGACACCGTCTCGGTGGTGGATCCTTCGCAGGCCAACTTTGTTATGTCCAGTTCTGTTTTGCGGAGCCGCACGAAGCGGGGCGGCGAGGGTGGACGATCGCTGCACTCCGAGACAGCAAGGTTCCTCAATCATTCCTTTTGGACATGCCCTCAGTGTACCTTTGTGAATAGTGATAGTGAGCGTTTTTGTGGAGCATGTCAGTTTCAAAATGTTGGCACCGTTATTTGTTCCTTTTGCCAGTCAGCATGCCGTTTTGGGGAAAAGCGGGTTTCAAAGTGCGAGGTAACGAAATTACTACATATAGTCTGGAAATGTAACGCATGTAGCGCTTTTAATACTGTGGATGGTGACAGGTGTCAAGTGTGCAACCGACCCCTCATATGGGCGTGCTCAAGATGTACGGTAGAGCAGGAGTCATTTCGCACCACAGAGGGACTTCGTGTCTGCCGTACTTGCGGTGCGTACAACATGCCACTGGAAGTAATGCAGTCACGCCTTGCGATGTCATTGCAGCTTAGCGAGAGGGAGATGCAGTCGGGCGTTGAGTTTGGCGTCAATGATTCCGGAACGATTGCGGAGCAGATGCGTCAGGCGGGAATTGAAGAGGCAAAGGAGCGTCTTGCAGATCGTATGCGGCAACTTGGCGTTTTGCAGGTGAATGAGCAGGTTTCAGATGGCAACTGCCTTTTCCGCGGCCTCGCGAATCAACTTTTTGGTCAACCCGGCAACCACATGCTTCTGCGCCGCCTCGTTGTGGATTACATGCGGCAGCGGGCCGAAAGCTACAGTGTCCTCTTTGACGGCGAGGCGGAGTGGGACGAGTACCTGCGAAATATGCAGCAAAGCGGTGTGTGGGGTGACGAGTTGTGTCTTAACGCAGCCGCACGATGTTTTCATGTGAATATTCACGTCATTACAAGCGAAGCGTCACGTTGGCATTTGGTGTTCCAGCATGATGAGTTAGGGGCCTCGCAGTCCATCGTTCGTCTGGAGAAAGAGGAGGTAGAAAAGGAGAAACGAGATGAGGCTGCGGCGATATCTTTACCTCCCACGCAGAACTCCATCTGCCTATTTCTTGTCTACATGGCGCCGGTGCACTACGACGATGTGATGCCGTTCCGTGCCCCGCAGGTCGATGACGTGCGCCAGTACGTCGTGAAGAGTCTCTCCGCCACGATGGAGAAGGAGAGCTCGCGGCGTGCCACAAGGGGCGGCGAGATGACGCGGCAACAACGGCCACACCAGCCACAACAACAACAACAGCAAGCACTCAGGAGGCAGAGACCACGGGAAGTTCCTCCCAGAAGTGTGGGAGGCGGCGTGCGTCCTGTGAGAGAGACGCAGGCGTCATTGCCGTCCATGCGGACTTCGCCGTTGGTGCCTTTTTCGCCCGGCTGGAACCGTTCCGCTGGCAGGGGCAACCCCGCATGCTGAACAGGCGTATGTTCATAAGGACAAAAGTGTGAGAGAGTGAGAGACGACGGTGAAACAAAAATGCAAACAATAGGGAGTGGAGCGGTTTGACAGCGATAGAGCGGGAGAGAAGGAAAGAAGGCAATGGAAAGGAAAAGGGTAGGAGGGAAATTCAAAAGAAGAAGAAAAACACAAACACACACACACATATAAAAAAAAAAAAAAAAGAAAAAAGAAGAAAGAGAGCACTTCAGAAAAATAGAGGCGTCATGAAACAAGACGCATCACCACCTGCACCTGCACCTTCCTTCTTTTTTCCTTTTCTCTCCCTCTTTTTGTTGTTTATAAAACTTTTTTTTTTTTTTTTGTATTTTATTTCCTCTCAATCCTATGTTTATGCGAACACGTATGCATGTCTGCTTTCCTTTTTTTCCCCAATCAATACCAGAGATGCGGCCGCTTCTCTCATTTCTCTCTCTCTCTTTCTGTGTGTGTGCGTGTGTGTAATGGATGGTCGGATGTCATCACGGCGGTAATATTGTCTACGTCATTTATGATGTATTTATTTCTTTTTTTTTTTTTCTTTCTTTCTCTCTCCTTTACCAACAGACGGATGTCTACTCCGTAGCGGATGGGTAGCAGGCAGTTATCTTTCTCTCTAGTAAGAGTACTAGGCCCATGGCACCATCGTTCAGGTGGCCGGCTGCGCCCAGGGAGAGAGATGTCTACGTCATACCTGCGCCGGCGATCGCATGGCCCCCGCGGCCTCTTTGAGAACCGATCGCGTGCCGCGGATGGTGGCGGTGGCGGTGGCGCAGCAGAAAAACACCCTACAGACCACACGGGCATGTCCACAACTCTCCTTCTCAACCCTGCCGTGTTTTCTCCCTCCCTTTTTTTTTTTTTTTTTGTTTGGCATGTCCGGTTGCCTCCACACCCTTTTTCTTTATTCTCCTTTCCGCCCACCCTCTTCCCGTGCAGTTTTAGTGATGCCGAGCGGCGACAAAAAAATCGACACCAGAAATGGTGACGGCCACGACGAAAACAGAAGCGAATACTGCGATGACGATTACGTGCCACCTGCGCAGCGTGGGGTGTTGTTTTTCTCGACCATCCCGCGCGACATGCGACCACAGGAGGTGCGCATGCACTTTAATGAGTTTGGTAAGATTCTGCGACAGAAATTTACGCCTTTTCCAAAGAAGGAGCGACGCCCTGGCGGCCCGTTGCTTCCGCTGCAGTTTATGAATGGATACTTGGAGTTTGCACACGTCGAGGACGCGCGACGGGCGGCGGCGGCGATGAACGGGACGCCTGTCGCATGCAAGCGACGCCGCAAGTGCCACGGCCAGCTGTGGACAGTGAAGTTCCTTGACGACTTCACGTGGGACACGTTGCTTGAGCAGAAGGAGGAGACACGGCGCACACGGCGGCAGCGTGAGGCGGAGGCACGCAGCGCGGAGCGCGCCATCAACGAAGCGTACCGCGCTGCCGTCCTGGGGGCGATGCGGCGCAAACACACACGCGGCGAAGGAGGAGCCTCACCGAAAGAACCGAATGAATGCCGCAGTCTTAAGAAGAGAGGGCGGCGTGAGCAAAATGTCACTGGGAGGATGTTACGTGATGTTTCTGTTTCTTCTGATTCCGTTGGTGCTGCTGCTGTGACTCCTCTTGAGGTGGTGAAGAAGAAGCGGAGGAGAGAATGATGTTTTTGAGGCCACGTTGAACTTTTCTCTTTCTCTCTCTGTGTGTGTAGCGTTGACGCCATCCTATTCTTGTGCCGTATCTCGTTTTTCCCACTGCTGCTGCTGCTGCTGCTGCTTCAGGGGGAAACGGAGCACACGCCCACACGGCGGAGGCGCGGAACATCAATAAAGAGACGTGAAGGATGGGGGAGGAGGTCATTTCGAACCCGTTAAGATTGACGCGTGTGATTTATTTATTTATTTATTTATTTTCTTCTTTGCTTATTGGCTGTTGCTGTTGTTGTTGCTGCTGCTGCTGCTTGGGAGTGCGGCTTTGCTTTTTGTTTTTCTGAAAGTTACACACACACAAAAAGAAAAAGAAGAAGAAGTAGAGAGCCACGTTTCGAATTCACCAGCGCGGTTTTTTATTGCTGCGACCCCGGATATTCTCCTACGCCTACCCCAAATTCTTAGCCAGTTGCTCGACACAGTTATTCATGTCAAAAGCCGCGACGACGTCTGCTGGCGAGAAGAATAAGAAGAAGGGGGCGGCACCTTCTGCCTCGGATGCCACAGCAGTCGACCTCAAGTCATTGCAGGAGCCGGAATTTTGGAAGGCACGCGATGCGTTGTTCGATGAATTGCTGGCAGCGCAGGAGGCGAAGTACAAATCCATGCAGGCACCCATCACCATCACACTACCCGACGGCAAACAACTACCCGCCACAAGCTGGCTGACGACCCCAATAGACATTGCGAAGCGACTGTCCAACTCCCAGGCCGAACGGGTGATTGTTGCACGCGTGAATGACGAGTTGTGGGACCTCACCCGCGTCTTTGAGGGCGATGCCACACTTGAACTTCTCGACTGGGACGATCCTGAGGCACGACATGTCTTCTGGCACAGCTCCTCCCACGTGCTCGGCTACGCCCTCGAGCGTGTCTTCCACACACGTCTTTCGGTTGGACCGGCGCTGGAGGAAGGGGGTTTCTTTTACGAGGGCGACACGGGCCGGCCGCTGTCGGAGACGGATTACAAGTCAATTGAGATCGCCATGCAGGAACTTGTAAAGATGAAGATGCCGTACCAGCGCCTGACGGTCTCAAAGGCCGACGCACTACTACTTTTTGGCTACACGGAATTTAAGAGCAAGATACTCGCAAGCAAAGTGCCTGAGAACGGCTTTTGTACGGTCTACCGCTGTGGTCACTTGATTGACCCATGCCGCGGTCCACATTTGCCCGACACCGGCCGTGTAAAGGCGTTTGCCGTGACAAAGAACTCCTCTTCTTACTTTGAGGGGAAGGCGGAAAATGCAGTGCTGCAGCGCGTGTATGGCATTTCCTTCCCGAAGCAGACGATGTTGACAGAATGGAAGGCACTGCAGGCGGAGGCTGCACGGCGTGATCATCGGAACATTGGCAGGCAACAGCAACTTTTTGGCTTTCACGAGGTATCGCCCGGCAGCGCCTTTTGGCTTCCACACGGCGCTCGTATTTACAACGCGCTGGTGGAGTTTCAGCGCAAACAGTACCGCCGCCGCGGCTTTGAGGAGGTTGTTTCGCCCAACATGTTCTCCTCCAAACTTTGGATGGTCTCGGGCCACTGGGACAAGTATGCAGACAACATGTTCCGCATCGTTGTGGAGAAGGAGGATCATGGGATGAAGCCAATGAACTGTCCCGGTCACTGCATCATGTACGCCATGCAGCAACACTCATACAAGGAATTACCTATTCGTTACGCCGACTTTGGTGTTCTGCACCGCAATGAATTAAGTGGCGCCCTCACGGGACTCACGCGTGTGCGGCGATTCCAACAGGACGATGCCCATATCTTCTGTCGCATGGATCAGGTGCAGGAGGAGATTCAGGGCGCACTCGTCTTTTTGGATGATGTCTACCGCACGCTTGGGTTTAAATTCTTCCTCAAGCACGCCACACGCCCTGAAAACAAACTTGGGACGGAAGAGATGTGGGATCAGGCAGAGGCGTACCTCCGTGCGGCACTCAACAGTTTCTGCGGCATTCCAGAGCACTTGCCGGATCCCTTTAAGGAGGGCGCCACCTTTACGTTTGATGGACGCAGGGACAGCGTCAAGAAGCTCCGTGCGCTTCTCAAGAAGCAGGCAGCCAACCGTGAGAACAAAGACACAGAGAAGAAGGAGGAGAAGGATGACGAGTGGAAGGGGCCAACACATGCCGATGCGTGGGAGGAAAATACCGGCGATGGTGCGTTCTACGGTCCAAAGATAGACATCGTCGTGGAGGACGCGCTGCGGCGTCGTCACCAATGCGCCACCGTTCAATTGGACTTCAATTTGCCACAACGCTTTGGGCTTAAGTACACACTCCCAACTTCGACCGTTGAGGGTGGTGCGGGGGCGGAAGCGAAGGAACATCATGCCGACCCCAACGCCCCCAAAGTGGGGACGGACGCCACGACGGCAGAGGGAAAACCAGAAGCGGAAGACGAGTTCCTTTCATCGTACGAGAAGGCCGCAAAGGAACTTTGCATCGACCGCCGTCTGGATGCGAACCAGGCACGTCCAGTTATGATTCATCGCGCCATTTTTGGCTCACTTGAGCGCTGTATCGCTATTTTGTGCGAGCACTACGGCGGCGAGTGGCCGCTGTGGCTCAGTCCACGGCAGGTGATTGTTATACCCGTGTCTGCTGAAAACACCGCATACGCCACAAAAGTGCGGGACGCCTTTTACGCCGATGGCTTCCACGCTGATGTTGACAGCGGCAACGCGACATTGGACAAGAAGATTCGTAACGCAGAGGTGGCACGGTACAACTTTATTTTTGTTGTCGGTCAGGTGGAAGAAGAGACACAGACGGTTAACGTCCGCACCCGCGACAATCGCCGGCACGGTACAAAGTCACTGGCAGAAGTCCAGCGGTGGTTACGCGAACTCGTTGACACCTACGACTTAAACTACTGAGCACATTTACCGCACTGTCCAATATCTTTGCCCCCCGTCCCTCACCCCCTTTTTTCCTTTTTTCTTTTTTCTTTCAATATATCAATATATCTATATGTTTGTTTGTTTGTTTGTTTGTTTGTTTGTTTCTGTGTAAGTGCGTGCGTGTGGAAGGGGTGAATTAAGCGACACACACACGGTTCGTGTTGGTTTCTTAAACGTGGCAGAGAGGGAGGGAGGGAGGGAGGGGGGGAAGGAATCCCAATAAATAAATTAAAAAAAAAAGAAAAAAAAAAGAGGTGGGAAATTCTGATTTTTCTTTTGCCTTTATATAAATACACACAGACATATATATATCTATATCTATATCTATATCTATATCTATATATGTGTCTTGTAAAATGTGTGAGCGAAGATGTCAATAGAAACAAACAAACAAACAAACAAAAAAGAAAATAGAATTAAAAAAATAAAACAACAACAACAACAAAAATAGTGACAAAACGACAAGGCAAAACGGACGGTATGTGTGTTTTTTTTTTTTTTTTTTTTTTTTGTTTGAGCGCTTGCGCATAAGGATTACTCGCTTACAAACTTATATATAAAAGATGATATAACGAACACACACACACACACACACATCTGAACATTGCTTCCTCTCTCTCTCTCTCTGTGTGTGTGGGTGTGTGTGGGTGGGTGGGTGTAGGGGGAGAATGAATGAATGAATGAAGGGAGGAGGAAGTGGTGGAGGAAGAGAGGGAGTTTTATTACAACGTCAGACGTGTGCCATATATATTCGGGTCGCAATGATTTGACTCGTCGTTTTCTTTGTTGCCATCTGTGCACTCTCCTGGCAATGCCGGAAACATCATCGTGGTACGCCAGGGTCCATTACACACACGCACCCGTATCACCCAATGGGGGAAAAGCCAATAGCCGGTAATGTTTCCTTTATGGAATTGTTGTCATTGGCGCAACAAACACACACACACACACACACCGGACCAGCCGCGTATGACTGAGTCTCACAGTTGTAATACCATGAGGTCTGTGTCTGTATGGTGGGGTGTTGAGTGGGGTGAGTGGGGGAATGCACATGTTACCGTCGTGTCTGCAGCAGCACCATCCGCAGCAATGCTGAAGAAAACACGAGGAAAAAAGAACGGACCACACGAAAAAAGAAAGAAGGAAAGGAAAAAAAAAAAAAAAAGAAGAATATATATATATTGCATGTACGCAATTGTACCAGTGGAGGGTTGGGAGGGTGGGATAATGTCCCGGAGTTGCCCTCTTTCTTTCGCTTTCTTCCTCTCTCTCTCTTCTTTCTTTTTTTTTTTCTTGTAGAAATTTTATTGTTTTTTTTTATTGTTTTTTATTGTTCGGGGCGACTTTTCAACAATTTTTTATGTTTGTTGTTGTTGTTGTATTTTTATGTGGGCGGGTGGGGGGCTACCAGTCAATTTCCCCATCCATCCATCCATCTGTCTCTCTCTCTCTCTCTGTGTGTGTGTGTATGTGTGTTTTCCCTCCTGCCATTTCTCCTCCCCTCAGCAGTACCACTTAATATTATTATTGTTGTATTTAGTACTACTGCTGCCACACCAACCACCACCACCACCACCGCTGTTTTTGTTGTTGTTGTTGTTTTATTTGGTTTTATGTCCAGATCCTGCAGTATTCTCTTCTCTTCTCTTTTCTTCTCTTTTTTTTTTTTTGTGTGTGTGTGCGGCGGCGGTGGCGGCGGAAAAGAAAAAAAAAGAAAAGGAAAAGAGATCAACCAACAACAACAAAAGGGCGTATTATTATTGTTATTATTAGTGGTAGTAGTAGTAGTAGAAGTCATTTCTAGTGGCGGTGGCTGAGGAATCGAGGCGAGGGGGCTGCGCTCCGACACATCCGTCTGCAATTGTCACCAGCGGCAGGAGACGAGGAGGATAAGTGGAGGACTCATTTAATTTAATTTAATTTTAATTTGTTTTTAAATACACGGCCAGTCACTGCCGGTGTGTTGGTTTTAACAACAAAGGAGGAGGAAGTAGCATCACCACCATCACCACCACCACTACCACAAAAAAAAAAAAAAAAACAGGGACAGACAAATGGACTGCAGCACCGGCGCGGCGATTGGGCAGCAGTTTGCGAAGGATGCGTTCCACATGCATGGCGGTGTTGGCGTGGGCCCAACCGGCAACCCCGAGCATGACGTTCTCATGAACGAAATGATGATGGTGCAGACGCCGACGGGGCCGGCAGGCGAATGGACCCACCAGTTCGCAGCGTACCAGGGAAAACAACAACAACAGCATCCACAAGAGTTGGCCATGCGGCATCAGCAAAACGATGCCCTTATGCTTCGCCAGCAGCAGGAAATGGAGGAGGCATTTTGCACCCTTTGCGCGGCGCATCCGCATTCACATGCGCATTCACATGCGCATTCACATCAACCGCAAGGGCTGGTTGGGCCCGCTATGATGGGGCCACAAATAATGCCACCGATGATGTTTGGTCCAGGGAGCGGCGGCTTTATGATGGGCACACCGCCTATGATGCCGTACGCCTCGATGAAATTTGCAGGGGATGCGGCAATGGCGGCTGCAAACAACACAACCATGACGCAGGGGGCCACAGCAACAAGTACCACGTCCGTGCAACAGGAGCAGCAGCAGCAGCAGAGCAGCGACAATGGATGGGTGGAGAAGTTGCGTGATGCGGAGTGGGCACAGGACTACAGCGATGCGCAGGTCTTCACGCTTGAAGGTCAGTCGGAGCAGACGATGGAGGAGCATGCAAAGAACTCCGAGTTCTACCAGTTTATGGACAAAATCCGCAGCAAGGAACTGCTTATTGATGAGGAGACGGGTCAGTTGGTGCAGGGCCCAGGACCCGATCCGGATGCTCCTGAGGATGCGGAGTACTTGAAGGAGTGGGCCGCCGCAGAAGGGCTGAACATGCCGCCGGGTTTCTTTGAGCACATGATGCAACGTCCACAAGGAAATAACGAACAAGCGGAGGGTCGTTTATTTGATGGTAGCAACGATGCTCTGATGGACGATGGTGCCCTTGACAACGCGGCGGATGTGGAAGAATGGGCAAGAGAGTACGCCGAGGCGCAAGAGCAGTTGCAGCGCGTCCAAAACGAAACGAATTATCCCTTTGAGCCCAACAACCCGTACATGTACCACGACAAACCCATGGAGGAGGGGATTGCAATGTTGCAGCTGGCGAACATGGCGGAGGCCGCCTTAGCATTTGAGGCGGTGTGCCAAAAGGAACCGGAAAATGTGGAGGCTTGGCGGCGTCTGGGCACAACGCAGGCCGAAAATGAAAAGGACTGCCTTGCAATCATTGCGCTGAATCACGCCCGCATGTTGGATCCAAAAGACATCGCCGTTCACGCAGCGCTTGCGGTCTCGCACACAAACGAGCACAATGTGGGGGCGGCGTTGCAATCTCTGCGGTCGTGGCTGCTGTCCCAACCGCAGTACGAGCACCTTGGTTTAGTGGACCTGCAGGAGGTGGCTGCCGATGAAGGATTGGACGAGGTGCCGGAAGAAAATTACTTCTTTGCCGCTCCAAGCGAGTACCGCGACTGCTGCACACTTTTGTACGCCGCGGTGGAGATGAACCCAAATGACCCGCAGCTGCATGCCAGCCTCGGTGTGCTGCACAACCTCTCGCACCGCTTTGACGAGGCCGCCAAGAACTTCCGCCGTGCCGTCGAGTTGCGCCCAGACGACGCGCATACGTGGAACAAACTCGGTGCGACACTCGCCAACGGTAACAGGCCACAGGAGGCACTTGAGGCGTACAACCGTGCACTTGACATTAACCCGGGGTACGTGCGCGTCATGTACAACATGGCGGTGTCCTACTCGAACATGGCGCAGTACCCGCTTGCCGCAAAACACATCACACGGGCCATCGCTCTGCAGGCCGGGGGTACAAACCCGCAGGGCGAAGGTTCTCGGATCGCAACACGCGGTTTGTGGGATCTACTTCGTATGACGCTGAACCTCATGGACCGTAGCGACCTTGTTGAGGCCTCATGGCAGCAGGACTTGACACCCTTCTTGAAGGAGTTTGGGCTGGAGGACATGGCGGTGTAACGACGCCGCGGGTAATAAATCGGAAGGTACACCACACGCAACAACAACAACAACAACAACAACAACAACAACAAATAAAAGGTGAACAGGACTGCTTTTCAAGGTGAAAATAAAGGAATATATAGTATATATAAGTGTGTGAGGAACACTGAGACAAAACAAAAGAAAAAACCACAGCAATTTGGACGGTGGTGAAATAGGTGGGAGCTAAGAAGAGATGACTACACAAATGGGTGAGTGTGTGTGGAGGGGAATTATTTTACTTCTCAAAGTTGCCGCAGAATAAACGAAATTTCTCTTTATTTTGACTCCGCCGGGCTCTCGTGGCGTATCCGGCGCCAAGGGAGGGGGGGCAGACGTGACATTGGCATGCGCGTTACACGTCGAATTGTCCCGCAGGCCACTTTTACACTGTTTTTTCTGTGAATACCTTCTTCCCATTTTTCTTTTTTTCCCCTTTTCTACCTGTTCCTTTCTTTTGCTGCGTCCTCCTGCTTCCGGCAAAAGGGACCAAACAGACAGTCAGAAAAAAAATAAAAAAAGGGGCAATGGGAAAGACTGTGCTCACCTGCCGTAAGGGCAACGGGTCCATCTACCAGGTGCACGGCCACAAGCGTCTTGGCCCCGCGAAGCTCCGCATTCTTGACTACGCCGAGCGTCATGGTTTTATGCGTGGTGTGGTCAAGACGATTGAGCATGAGCCCGGCCGTGGTGCCCCGCTCGCCCGCGTGGAATTCCGGCATCCGTACAAGTACCGCCGCGTGAAGGAGCTGATGGTGGCGCCGGAGGGCATGTTCACTGGACAGTCCGTCCTCTGCGGCGTGAAGGCACCACTCGCCATTGGCAATGTGCTGCCTCTTGGCCAAATCACGGAGGGCTGCATCGTCTGCAACGTGGAGGCGAAGGTCGGCGACCGCGGCACCATTGCACGTGCCTCGGGCGACTACTGCATCATCATTTCGCACAACCACGAGACGGGCCGCACACGCCTGAAGCTGCCAAGCGGGCAGAAGAAGACGGTTCCCAGTAACTGCCGCGCCATGATTGGTATCATTGCTGGCGGTGGCCGTATTGAGAAGCCGGTGCTGAAGGCCGGTAACTCCTTTTACCGCTTCCGTGGAAAGCGTAACTGCTGGCCCAAGGTGCGTGGTGTTGCCCGCAACCCAGTGGAGCACCCGCACGGTGGTGGTAACCATCAGCACATTGGCCACCCGTCGACCGTCTCACGTCACGCACCGCCAGGCCAGAAGGTCGGCCTGATCGCCGCCCGCCGCACCGGACGTATTCGCGGTAGCAGGGCCGTTAAGGGCGCATGGCATCCGGAGGAGTAAAAAGAAATACGAAAGGACGAATTCTGTTGAGGAGCGAAGTAAAATGGCAACCATGCACATCTCTCTCTCTCTTTATATATATATATATATACGGAGAAAAAGGATGTATCTCTGTGTGTCTGTGATCCCAGATTATTATTATTATCATTTTTTTTTTTGTTTTTGATTTATGATATATATACATATATTTACTTTAATCCCGTATCCCTTTTTTTTTTTTTTTGTGTGTTTTGGGTGATAATAACCAGGCATTAAGTGACAGCGTGTACCGTCTACGTTGTTACTTATTGCTACGGGTTTGCCATTTCTCTGCCTGCACACATGCGCCTTGTAATGTGACGTTTATTACATTGACATCTTTTCCTTTTTTATTTTTTATTATTATTTATTAATTACCTTTTCCCTAATAACCCCCCCCCATTTTACATTTCACGTCATTATGGCAATGATCCTCCTGGGGCGTGTTATTTTTATTTTATTTTAATTGCACATATTCGGCCTTTATTAAGTCAAATCATTGCAGTTTTGTGGAAGTGTTGTTGTTGACACGGCGGAAGGAAAAGAAGGAAAGGTGAGTGTGTGTGTGTGTGGCGTACGCACTCTTGAAGTAATTTGCTGAGGAGGGGAGACGGGAGCGTTTTTATCGGCGTAGAAACAACAACAACAACAAAACAAAAGGTTCAACAGGAAGGGGGTTTATTCTTTTAAGAAAAAAAAAGAAAGAAAAAAGGAAAAAAGTACAAAACAACAACAACAACAACAAAAAGGCAAGTCGTGAAGGGGGCGGGAGAAGAAAGAAGCATCCGGGGGACATTTGACGGCACCGCCGACGCTTTCGCTGCTGCTGCTGGGGAAGGCTGAAGTGGACAGACCCACGAGGTTTATTGTTCGTTGGCAGTCATCTCCCTTTCTGCTTACATATATAGTTCTGTATATCTACATATACATATATATATATAGTGGGATATATTTATCGTGAAGTTACGAACGAAGAGAAGTGGTTGCGGGCAGAAGCAAATATATATATATATATAAAATAAAACAAACAAACAGACAACTACAAAACAACAACAGGGAATCCTCCAGTTGGAATGCAAAGGAAAATACGCCGTCCTGTTCGGAGACGCCGGCGTGTTGGCTTGTTGCTGCCAAAGCTTGCGCACCCCGTACAGGAGACGGAAACAGATGACGAGGATGGCAATGCGCCGTTGGGCACATCGTTCTCACCGTCGCTTCAGGCGCAACAATCCGTGAGGCTTGCCAGCACAAGTTTTAAATTTTCCCGTGCCGTATCACTGAGCCGCAGCAACACGAGCGCAACGGAGAATATTGAGGGTGAATTATGGTACGTGACATCAAACATGGGACCAGGGAAGCGCGCCACATTGGCGATGCAATGGGTGACGTGCGACGATCACAAACTGACGGTTTCAAGCGGCTGGAGCGAACGGGGTCGTATAATAGACATGATGCAATTTGATGGGATTCGTGTCATATTTAGTTTTTCCCACGTGCACGAGCACTTTGCCTCCTTGCGTCAGGCTCCAATAACGAGGATTGTGCGGCGGGACGATAACGGCAACTCCATTTATGTAAACGTCTGCAAAAAAGATAAAGAGGACAGTAGAAACGATTATCAGCCACCACGGAGAGCCATGCGAGAATTCCGCCTTTGTGAAGGGAAGCTAAGGCCACGGTACTACTACTTTGGCATTGAGTTCAGTGAACATCGGGATAACACCGGCGCACCCCGCAGACGGCAGCGACGACTTATTATTTTCGCAACGGACATAAAAAGTGACCAGCAGGCGTGGTTGAATTACTTCGCGTCGCTGGGGGATCTCAAGTGCCGTTCCATTTCAAAAACAAGCAATACCCACGGCTGTTTTTCCGTGCAGGACGAGTCGCATTCTCAGAGCTTGCCGGAGCCACAAAGTGTGGGGCGCCTGAACCTCGAGGAAAGGGACTGGGGCTCCTCTCGGTCATACGAGCCGCTCGAGTTTGCCGCCACGGGACGCCCCGGCAGTGAGTCTTCCCCTTTTCTGGTGGATTTTGATGAACTTTCGGAGTCCCACGCATCCGCTTTCCCTCGTTCCCGCCACAATGAACAGTTGAGGAATTATTTAATCGCTCAACTGACAGATGAGGAAACACGTTTGCGTAAGACACTCTTCGTGGAAGAGGACAGCGACAGACGACGGCTGTGTGCCGTTCGACAGGCGTTGTCTTTAGCATTTAGAGACAATAATTTATTCTCCGCATGGACATCCACGCGACTGGCCAAGACGGGTACAACCGATGATGCCACACTCGCAGCATGCGGCTTATTTTTTCCTCAGTGCGAAAAGGTCTCACCGGAAACAAGTCAGTGTGTGGAGTTTATAACTGACACTATCAAAATGCTACAAAGAACAATAACCGAGAAAAACAATCATATAAATGATATGAAAAAAATGCTGGAAGAGTTACGAAGGCAATTAACTGTTGACAACAACAAAATTCAAACGTTAGAAGAGAAACACCGTCCAAATGTATGCAACAAAGATGTAAATGGAAAAAAGGTAAACAAGGAAGCAACAACGCCTCCAAATAAGCCAGGGGGCCAAGAAGCAGACGACCGTGTGCGGCATCTTATTGGTACTGTGCAGGAACTAAAAGAGCGGCTTCGGGCGACCGAACTTGCCCGCACTGTATTGGAAAAACAGAACGAGCGCCGACGCCGTGAGCTGGAGGAGCAAATGGCGCAGCTGGGCACCGAGAGGGATGCGTTGGCGGAGCGTGTGCGTGAGCTAGACACGCGACTGGGCAGTGCGACCGTCTCTCTGCATGACGCGGAGCATGAGTGCGAATTGGTGGCCGGGCTGCTTGGAGTTCCGACGGTGGAGGCCGGCCGTGAGAGCGATGTATCCGTTGCGGGCCGCCTGCGGTGTGTCTCTGGCGCTGTGCGTGAGCTGGGGGAGCAGAACGAGCGCCGACGCCGTGAGCTGGAGGAGCAACTGGCGCAGCTGGGCACCGAGAGGGATGCGTTGGCGGAGCGTGTGCGTGAGCTAGACACGCGACTGGGCAGTGCGACCGTCTCTCTGCATGACGCGGAGCATGAGTGCGAATTGGTGGCCGGGCTGCTTGGAGTTCCGACGGTGGAGGCCGGCCGTGAGAGCGATGTATCCGTTGCGGGCCGCCTGCGGTGTGTCTCTGGCGCTGTGCGTGAGCTGGGGGAGCAGAACGAGCGCCGACGCCGTGAGCTGGAGGAGCAACTGGCGCAGCTGGGCACCGAGAGGGATGCGTTGGCGGAGCGTGTGCGTGAGCTAGACACGCGACTGGACAGTGCGACCGTCTCTCTGCATGACGCGGAGCATGAGTGCGAATTGGTGGCCGGGCTGCTTGGAGTTCCGACGGTGGAGGCCGGCCGTGAGAGCGATGTATCCGTTGCGGGCCGCCTGCGGTGTGTCTCTGGCGCTGTGCGTGAGCTGGGGGAGCAGAACGAGCGCCGACGCCGTGAGCTGGAGGAGCAACTGGCGCAGCTGGGCACCGAGAGGGATGCGTTGGCGGAGCGTGTGCGTGAGCTAGACACGCGACTGGACAGTGCGACCGTCTCTCTGCATGACGCGGAGCATGAGTGCGAATTGGTGGCCGGGCTGCTTGGAGTTCCGACGGTGGAGGCCGGCCGTGAGAGCGATGTATCCGTTGCGGGCCGCCTGCGGTGCGTCTCTGGCGCTGTGCGTGAGCTGGGGGAGCAGAACGAGCATCAACGCCTTGAGTTGGCTGAAGCGGAGTCCCGTCGTGTGCTTGAGCTGGAGTTTGTTCGTATCCTTTCTTCGCTCTTTGTTGATGAACGTAATGCATTGCGTAGTGAGTGTTTTAAACTGTGTGCCGAGTTGGAAGAGTGGAAACGTTCGTTTTCGAAGATTTCTGTTTCCGTTAACGATGCTGTGGAGAGGTTGGGTTGTGCTCTGCATGGTGTATCGAGTAATAGCGGTGGAGATGTTTGCGTGTGTAAAGGTGTTGACGTTATTTCCTCTTCTAGTCTTGTGGATCCTGCTGCTGTTGGAGCGGTGGCAGTGAAGTTGGAGCGGCTGGCGTCTGTGTGGCACACGGTCGGCCAGGGTCAGCATCTGGCGTGTGCGCGTTATTATGAGGTGGCTTGTGAGTTGCTTCGAGATGTTTTTCAAGCGTTGGGCTTAATGGCGCCTTCTTCTTCGTTCCATGCGCCGTTTGGCGCGAGGGAGGAGGTTCTGCAGGAGTTACTGACGTGGACGAGTACCCCGCAGGACTGCACGAATGTCGATGGGAATGGAAGGTTGTTGCTGGCGCGCTATGAAGAGACAATGGCAGCGGGAATACGTGCTGTGGAGACCGACGTGCTGCAGCGTGTGCGGCTTGCCGCGGATCGTATTTTGAGGGTACGTCTTGCCTACGAAGCCGTTGGGAATGCGTTGGGGGATGGAACTGTGCAAGTGGCTGCAGGCACGAGTGACGGCGAGGACGACAGCGTCGTTGCGAAGATACGCGAACTGCATGTGTGCCTGAGGGACTCGCTGGAGTCGCTTGTGACATTTCTCGGAGATGACACGGGAGGTGCGACGCGGCGGCTCCACGACGGTGTTTCGTTTGAAGCGATGGTCAAGGAACTGATGAAAGAATGTCGCAGTGCCTCGGCGGCATTTGTGGACATCACGTCACTAGTGCGGGATGGAGTGGAGGAGAAGGAAGAAGTCCCGGGCAGCGAAGCCACCACCATCACCACCACAAACAAAAACAACAACCCTAAACCTCTTGTTTGTTGCTATGAGGACCTTGTGGTATCAGTGCGGCGCTCGTTGACGCGGGCCCGCGGTGAGCGGGAGAAATACAAGCGTCTTTGCGAGGAAATACGTCGTGTACTCGCCATGACAACAGGTACGGTGAGCGTTGCGACGCAGTCTTCGCTCCTTGGAGCTTGCCTGCCACATGCTGACGTTACCACGGATAATATCAGCTCTTTTGCGGATGCGCTTGCCAGTCAGAAGACGAAACCGTTGTTTTCTAAAGAGGAGTTGGTTGGTTCGGGAGATTCAGATTCGTGCCAGTCGCCGTTGGGGTCGCGGCATTCCTTTGAGATTGTGCACCAGGTGCGAAGCCACATCGCCTCGAAGGTGGCGGAGGTACAGGAGTTGCGCACAGCCGTCACGACGAGTGTGGAGAAGCTTGGCGGTACTGTGACTTCCCCAAGCGTCGCATCACACGTTATTGCCAACACGTTGCTGGATGTTGTGCGGGAGACAAGCGCATCCATTGCGGACGTGCAAGCCCTTATCGATCCCGATGCCGCCGCGGTGCGCTCGGGCCCTCCGCGGCTACGCGACCTCGTCAGCTGCCTCCAGGTGAAGGTGGGCGAGTGGGAGGCGAGTATGCGGGAGGCGCGGGAACTCGTGAATTCCGTCATGAACGTGAATGACCCGAACTATTCTCTCGCCGCATCGCCCGGTCGCTCACTCACGCGTAAATCGAAACCGAAGCCGGTGGTGGCGGGCAGAGGTGACGAGTCGCTCTCGCTTAACCGCACGTTCCCGGTGTCGTCTGAAAGTGTTTCTATCGGACAACTCCCGGACGGGCGCAGTGTTGCCGATGCGTCCCCGCGGAAGAACCGTGCGTTCACCCCTTTTTCCAGCGAGGCGGAGGGTGGCGGGGTGAGCGGCAAGTTTGTGCAGGACGCCGTTCTGGAAATACGCGCCAAACTCATCGGGATCCGACAGCTGACAAACGCATGCGCCACCGCCGTGTGTCTTATGGGCGGCGAGGAGGGGGTAGAGAGGCAGGCGCTCGATGTGCTGCCAGTGCAACTTTTGCAGCGGGCACAGGAGGTGAACGAGGTGATTCAGTTGACGCAGGACGCCGTCTCTCTTCTTGACGGCACGGAGGAGGAAGTGGGGGGGACGGCTGGCGGTGATGCCGCCAGTTCCTGTCCATCCATCCGTACACGTGTGCGGCGTCTCGTTGAGGGCATGAAGGCACTTAAGGACGAGAATGAATCGCTGCGGCTGCAGGAAATCGCCTCCCTGAAACAAAAGGCATTTCTTCTGCAGGACTTTGAAGCGATGCGGGATAAATTCGCAAGTCAAGAAAAGCGGCTCGGCGAGGAGTATCAAAAACTGTTAGGGGAATGCAATGAACTTCGCGGGACGATTGACCGTCGCATGCAAGAAATCCAGGAGCGGGACGACACACTTGCGATGCAAGAGAGGCGGAATACCGAACTTGAGGAGGAGCGTGAGAGGCTCCATGCCGAGTGCGATCAGCTTCGGCGGCAGATAACGACATTACGTGTCACGCGGGACGATTTGCAAGTGTTGGAGGCGGGTCCGAAAGAGGCAGCCGTCATTCTGCGAAGAGCGTCAGCTTTTTTGTACGGACGGCTCCAAAACGCCATAAATCAAATATCAGCGGTTTCCTCTTCTTCCTCTTTCACCTCCACCTTGTGGACAGCGGCAGAGGAAAAAGTCACTGAGAAGCATCTACAAGAAGATAAACCAGAGGGCATCGTAAAAGCACTTGATGTCAATGATGCGTCTGTTTCTGCAGCGCAGTTGATGGCAGAGAGCGGCCGCGAACTGCGTCGCTGCGGGCAGGCCATTCAGCAGATCGAGCTTCATTTAAGAACTGAGACGCAGCTGCGTCATTGGGTGCGGTGGGTTTGTGTGCGGACAAAGGACGAATTGGTTAGTGAGGAGGCAGCTGTGCGCACACTCCTGCGTGAGGCCTGTCGTAATGGAGCCGTGCTGCTGAGCGAAAAAATGCGGGTGTTGAAGGAGCGGGATGACATGCGGTGCCTCCTGCAGCAGCGCCTTGAAGAGGTGTTGAGCAAACACGATGAGGAACGCGCGGCGTGGAAGCGACGTCTGCAGGATTTAAACGAGACACAACAGTTGCCCTTTTGCTCAAGTTCTGCGGCGAGTAATGTGGCAACAGTGAGGGAAGGTGCCTGTGAACTGCAGCGGGAGGGCCCGAGAGCCCACAGTCGTCTCGAACAGTGGATAATTGAGAACACGACGGCGCCGTTGCCCAACGCGTCCCTGCAACGAGCAGCAGCAGCAGCAGCGGCAGCGGCGGCGGTGGTGGTGGAGAAGACGACGGAGTTGTGCGGTGCCCCACGGGAGTGCGTACCGGCCGCCCTCGAGTTTCTGCCGGCCGTTGGCGGCGACGGGGCGACTGGCGAATGGCGACCGGAGGAACCGCTGTCCGACGACGTGAAGTGTGTGCAAAAACTCGCAGAGGATCTTTCACGATGCCGAGTGCTTCTGCAGGAACAGTTATTAATGATGGGCGAAGACAACGACGATGATGTCTCGCGATCTGAAGAGCGACGGGATGACGGGGCGGATCAGAGAGCGTCCCTCTCCAGACTTATGGAGCGACACAAGAGTTCTCTGAAGAGGCTTGTCTCTGAGCGTGCGGCGCTGCACGTTGCGTGGCAGGCGGCACAAAGTGAAGTTTTGAGGCTTCACCGCGAACTGCATGAGGGCGAAGAGAGATATACGCGCGACACGGAGGAGGCGGGACGCCGCATCGGCGATCTCCGCGCCATTGTGCAGCAGAAACTGGTCGCGGATGCGAAGACGGAGCGGGAAATGGAGGAGATCCAGTCGGTGATGGACCAGCACCTCGCTGTTCTTTACAGTTACGCCAAAGAAGAGGAGGCAGTGACACGTCACCTGCATGAGTTATGCCGGTTAATGCGATCCAAGACGAACGTCCAAAAACAACACACCCGACTGCATTTTTAGTAGAACTTTTGGCCGGTGGTGGTGTTGGTGGCTGAAGTGTTTATGACAGTCTTTAATTTTATTATTATTATTATTATTATTTATTGCTTTTACTGTAGCTTTTCTTGTAGCTTATTTTATTTTATTTTATTTATTTATTTATTTTATTGGAAAGTTAAATGCTGTACAGAATGTGGAATTGTATTTGGCACACGAGACATGTGCACAACCGCCAGCACGTTGAGTGCCTGCTCTTTCTCTTTGCCTGTATCCTCCATGTTCTGTTTTCTTTCTCTCTTCCTTGCAAACATTACCACCACCACTGCCACAACAGCAGCCAACGGGGAGGGGAGGCGGGGAAGGTGCAAGAAGGCAGCGCCAAGACACCCATTGGAGGCAACGTAAAAGGGGTGGCTCACGTTGCACCCACCATCTCCGCGCGGGGAAAATGTCAAATGTTGCGCCCGGGAGTAGAGAAAGCGCCCCCACACCAGCCATGACCATGACGGCTGCTGGCACATTAGCACACCACCGAATTTGGTGGCCGCGGGTCATTCGTGTGGGGTCGTTTGCTTTTATTTTATTGGCGTTTGTCATGTTTGTTTTGGGGATGAGTGGAAAGAGTCATATAATTGTGCGGGTGAAGGGTTGGGACGAAGTTTTTGCAGTGGTTGGGACCTGTTGTTTCTTCCACCCCGCCACCGTCGTGTATCAATGGACCTCTCGCATGCCGTGCATGGCGCGTCTGCAAGAGTCAAGGATAATTTTCCACGCGTTACAGTTTCTCTTGTCGTTGGCATACTTGGCGCAGCAGACGGTCTTAATGGCGTATCTTGTTCTGTATTTTGGTCCCTTCTGCTTGTTGTTTCTGATTTCTGACATCGCCGTCGCTGCAATGATGGCAATGACGATGCTACTGCAATCATTACCCGTGCCAATTGCGCGACACTGGCCGGCATTCTACGTCCTGGGTCAGGCAGGGAAGCTGGTGGTGTTATGGTCCGCGCTGGGGGAGCCGATGGTGGCTGCACCACGAATGGGGGTCAATGGCCTCCTGGGAACGTTGATGCTCACTATACCCGTGGTACAATTCCCGGTGCTTATTTCACGAATTCGTGTAGGGATGTCGTTGACGAAGGCGTATACTACAAACATGGCAGCTGTTTTTGCTCACGTGCTGCATTTCATGGATGTGCTTGAGCTTTACTTCACTGGAGTGGAGGTGCGACAGTTCTCAGGCAATGTAAAGCTGCTTGTGCTCTTTTTTGCCGTCATGGGTCATATCACATGCAACCTGTATTACGCCTCACTGTTCTTTAAAGACGAGGAAACCGTGCGGTTCCTACGCCGCTTTGAGGAGCCAAGGGGGGACGACGCCGATTTGATCGCCCGTACGGAGCAGGCCAGAGACGACGAATTGTTCCACTACTTTCTTTGGACATTCTTTTTTATCGACCTCCTGTACGCCGTGATGCGGTTGGTGCTATTTGTTGTCAACGGGACAGATGTGTCCGTCTTTTTGGGGAAGAATTTCATGATGATTGTTGGTGTCGTTATGCTGTTGGTGCGGGCTAGCAGGCCGTAGGATGATGACGCCCTCTCCCCTTTTTTTGTTTCCCCTCCTTTCCAATCAGTGGAGACGTGGGGCGGGCTCTCATCTTTTTTCTGTCTTTTTTTTTTTTTTTTGTGTGTGTGTGTTTGTGTTTTCCTTCCACTACTTCCACCCATTTTTTATTTTTTTTTTTTATATTTTTTTTTTCCCTACACCTTAGCCAATACCGTCAGCTGCCGTCGAATTTTCCACCCTCCCTCTTCCCCTTGTGGGCTACGCATCCAATGCCTTTTTTTATTTTTATTTTTTTACCTTTCTTTATCTGCGGTTTATTGTCATTGTTATTGGATGAACAATGTGGGTTCTTTTTTTCTTTTTTTCTTTTTTTTTTTTTCTCTCTGCTTCCTTTTTGCGCTCTCAAAACGAAAAATTAAAGGAAAAGCACACAGAAAAAAGGCAGATATTTGCGCGTGTTTGTTTGTTTGAGTGCCCTAACTGCTGCTGGAATGTCCTCCTACCGGGATCGACTGGTGGCTTTCTACGAGAAGTATGCACCCCGCAAGGTGGGGCAGGTGGACGCACAGCTGGAGAAGTACGCCGGACGTGAGGAGGACTTTTTTGCTGCGCTTGTGCAGAAGTACGGTCCCGAGCCGGGGAATGCTGCCGGTACACCTGCAGCCAGCAGAGGTGCCAGCCCCGCTTTCAGTGAATCCGCCACACCCACCACAATGGACAGAATGTCTTCCTACCGGGACCGACTGGTGGCTTTCTACGAGAAGTATGCACCCCGCAAGGTGGGGCAGGTGGATGCACAGCTGGAGAAGTACGCCGGACGTGAGGAGGACTTTTTTGCTGCGCTTGTGCAGAAGTACGGTCCCGAGCCGGGGAATGCTGCCGGTACGCCTGCAGCCAGCAGAGGTGCCAGCCCCGCTTTCAGTGAATCCGCCACACCCACCACAATGGACAGAATGTCTTCCTACCGGGACCGACTGGTGGCTTTCTACGAGAAGTATGCACCCCGCAAGGTGGGGCAGGTGGATGCACAGCTGGAGAAGTACGCCGGACGTGAGGAGGACTTTTTTGCTGCGCTTGTGCAGAAGTACGGTCCCGAGCCGGGGAATGCTGCCGGTACGCCTGCAGCCAGCAGAGGTGCCAGCCCCGCTTTCAGTGAATCCGCCACACCCACCACAATGGACAGAATGTCTTCCTACCGGGACCGACTGGTGGCTTTCTACGAGAAGTATGCACCCCGCAAGGTGGGGCAGGTGGATGCACAGCTGGAGAAGTACGCCGGACGTGAGGAGGACTTTTTTGCTGCGCTTGTGCAGAAGTACGGTCCCGAGCCGGGGAATGCTGCCGGTACGCCTGCAGCCAGCAGAGGTGCCAGCCCCGCTGTAAGTGAACTCGCCACTCCTGCTGTGGCCGGTGCTGCAGAGATGAATTCGTTTGCGGATCATCATCAGCCAACTTCTTCTGAGACCATTAAAAACACCGTGGCTCAGAAGGTGGACGCCAATGCCAGAAATATCGCTGACGAAGACCGACGGGAGCGTTTGCGAGCCCTTGCCGCTCAACTGGGTGTTGCAGTTAAAAGCGACGATCCGCTTCAGGTTCTTTCTGCTCTTGTGGACGCGAGAAGAGACCGGAATTTTGGGACGACGTCTCCGGTACGGGACGCTGATGCGCGGGTGTGTCAGGTGTTGAATGAGTCTATGTATGCACCATCCACATCACGACTCACGGCAAGTGTGAAAGCCATGATGATGATGGATTCACGTTCCCCGACGGATCTATCGGTAATGCTTGCCGCTGTAAACGAGGAGGAGGCAGAGTCTCGCACGACGCTGGAACTTCTGGCGGCAGATGACTTTGACATTCTTCTGGCGGCGCGGCGGCGAGCATTGAGAAGTGTGGGGCGTGACGGTGCTCTGTCATCTCTCCGCGCTTCTGCAGAAGCGGCGTTGCTGCAACGGGTATGGCGGGGGTGGCATGACACCGCCGCCGACTACGTTAAGCAGGCGATGCACGGCCGGCATCATCAAAGGACGCGGTATCAGAAGATGCTTTTCAGCAAGTCGGTCGCCATGTATTATGATCGAATCGCACGCTCCCAGCGCCAGCAGGAGCGACGGAGACGACAAGTGGACGCCGCGAATGCCCAGGCCAACGCGATGCGACGGCGCCGATTGCGGGAAACCATCGCGGAACACGGCAACCTCGTGAATCGAAATATTCGCGCCGTGCTGTTGCGACAGTCACCGGGGGCCCACAACAGCCGCGACACGCCGGAAACACCGGAGCAGAGCCCTGACGCGGTGTTTACGCATGGCAAGGCGGAGCCGCAAAGGACCCACTCGCAGCGCCTCGCTCAGTCACCCTATTGGCATGGCGACTCGGCCAATCATCACGGCAGCGGTGATCGAAGAAACAACCGCAGCTTGTCCTTTTACAGTTACGGCAGTCGCAGCGCGCGCTTACTTGCAATTGAGAGAGACTTTGACCGTCTACCGTCAGATGCACGTGCCCGCGTCGTGCGGCGGCTACAGAAGTGGGATATTCTGCCCAAATCGCCCACACAGCACTTTTCAAGGGGTTTCCCTCATCTCCAGAGCATGCGGGAGCGCGGGGAGCAGCTGGCACGGCGGCTGGACACACTTGATGCGTTTGCCGCGGTGGCAGATGAGGAGGACACGCCCCCACAGTGGTGGAAGAGCGAGACAGAGTTGAGGCAGTACTTGGCTCGCGTTCTCATTGACGCGTTTGACGCAGAGGAACGAGAGATGCTTGGGCTGCCGTATGAGGTATTATGAGGATTACTAGTAACGTTTTAGCAAGCCATTTATTTTTAATTTTTTGTTTCCTTTTTTTTTTTTTTTTTTTTCTTTACCTCTTATCGGTTTCTGCTTTGCCAGCTGTACGAGTGAAAAACAATTTTACAAAAAAAAAAAATTAGGTGTGTGGATGCATGCATGCATGTGTGGGCGTGGCTGTGGCTTTGGCTTTGGCTTTGGCTTTGGCTTTGTGTGTGTGTGGGATGCAGCAGTCGACTGCCGTATTAAAAGTAAAATAAATAAATAAAATATTTCTTTTTTTTTCTTTTTTCATGACAACCAACCATCTATCTACATCTACACATGTATGTATACATCTGTGTCTCCGTGTCAGTGAATTGCGCATCGGAGAAACAAACAAACAAAAAAAAAAAAAAAGGAAGAATAAAAGGAAAGCGTGAGCAAAAAATACCCCCAAAACAAACAATCAAACAAACCCAACCAAAAAAAAAAATATATCAAAAATGATGGTCCACGCAGAAACCGTAGAGAAGGCACCGGCGAAGACGCTCCATAAAGTGCGACATTTCACGCCAAGTGTTGTGATGGCCGATGTTGCGACGGCCTTGGTTGTTGGTGCCGCCGCCGCCGTTCCCATTTCCATTGTTGACTACAGTATTATGGCGCGGGTGGCAGGTGTCACAGACAGTAGCCTCCGCGAACTCTGGCGGGGCACGAAGACATTATTCTTACGCCCTCATCGTTTCTTTTTGCCATGTGCAGAGAATAAGTGCAGCCTGGTATTTGCTGTGTGTTTTGTGGTCTACACCAGCACATACATTGGCTCTAACACAATGAAGAGTTACTGTGAGGCCAAAGGCTGCACCCCGGAGTCTGCCAACTTTGCCGCTGGTATCATGAGTGGTGTGGCTAACACCATCACAACTGTATGGAAGGATGGTATTATTCTTCGCTCCCTACCACCTGTGAATGCGGAAATGTTAGCCAACTCAAAGAAACCCGTGCCGTGGTTAACCCGTGGGCTGTTTTGTACCCGTGACACACTCACTTGCCTTGCCGCCTTTACTATCGCCCCAATGGTGGCAAATTGGCTCTCGCGGCGTTGCTGGAACCCGGCTGAAAACGCAAAGAAGAAGTTGCCTGAGCCGGTGGAGGGAAAAGTGAAGATTCCACTGCCTACAGCAGACATGGCGCAGCTGCTCACTCCCGCAGCCTTGCAGTTTGCAACGACGCTGTTGCACATTACTGCCATCCGCTATCATCAGACGTACCCGAAATTTAGCATGGGAGATCTGCAGTCCAGTCTGCGGGACACTTACTTATCCTCCACGATGTTGCGTGTCGTCCGCATCCTGCCTTCATTTGGAGTCGGTGCGATTCTTAACCGCGAACTCCGCTCGGATCTACTCGACCGTGCGGAAGGCCCTACCGCATGATCATCATAAATATATATATATACATGCATGCATGCATCTATATATATATAGATATATACAAATATTTTCATGTATAAATAAATAATTGTGTTTTATAAAAAAAAGCAAAAAAAGGAAAGGAAGGGTGAAGGGGGAGAGAGAGAGAAAGAAAATAATAATAATAATAATAAAGAAAGAAAGAAAGAAAGAGGTGCAAATTCGAAACGTAGACAAAACAAAACAAAACAAAAAAAACAAAAAAATGAAACAACCGGAAAAAAAAAAAAAGGAAATAAAAAAGACAAAAAAGAAGGAGGAATACAGTCACGAATACATTCCACTGCATGTATGTCTATATACAATATATATATATATATATATATATATATATATATATATATATATATATCTGTGTATGTATGGGCGGGGGGAAGACGCATGACATGACATGACAAGACAATGACAGTAGCGGCAGCGGCTACAGCGCCCAATGGAAACAAGAAACAAAAAAAGGGAAGCGAAAAATTTTTGTGGTCCTTTTTTTTTTTTTTTTTTTTTTAATTTTATTTACTTTTGATGGTGTGTGTGTGTGTGCGTGTGTGCGTGTGTTTTTTTTTTTTTTTTTAATTCTTCTGTTGGTGATGATGATTTGTTGTAATGTAATGTAATGTGGGCGGCGATGGATACGCGGGCGGCTTTTTAGTGGACTGCGCGGAATGCACCTCCCCTCCCCTTCTCTTTCCGCACACAAAAATAAAAATAATAAAAATAATAAAAGGGGGGGAAAAAAAACGAGGAAAAACAAAAATAAATGACTGAAAGGGACGAGAAGGAGGAAGTGAGGAAGAAGTGAGAAAAGGGGGACAACAACAACAACACGAAGAAGTAACAAGACATATAAATATATTTTTTTCTTTCTATTTTTTTTCTTTTGTGTGATTGTTTCTCTGTGTGCATGGCCACGTGTTTGCATGGACTTCTGTGCGTGTGTTCCTCTCCTTCGCATTTGTTGGGTCCTTTTATATTTTCCCTTCCCCTTTCCACCGCTCACGGTTGTGTCACCAATTGCACTGCGAGCGGTGTGTGTGTGTGTGTGTGTGTGTGTGTGTGTGTGCTGTGGAGGAGTAAACCAAACGACACGCCTTTGTTTATCTGAATGCACAGACAGACAGACAGACATATATATATATATATATATGTGAGGAGGGGGCGGCGGAGGGGCTTGCAGGCGGCAGCAAGACGAGGGTGGAGGGGATCTTTTTACGTCTTCTTTTCTTTTTTTTTTCCTCCCCCTCCTTTTTCTTCTTTACCTTCTCTCTTAAATCCTTTTTTTCTCTTTCTTTTTTTGTTACCCCCTCCCGCACAAACCGAGAGAGGGAGAGAAAGAGAGAGAGAGTGAGAAAGCAAACAGTTTTATTTACTTTTATATTTTATTTTTTTATTTTTATTTTTGTGTGATGTGTTGTTGCTTCTTTTCCCCCTTCCTCACGGTGGATTTGTGGGTTGAGGTGCGGCGGCAACGTGTTGCGTTCTTGCACAGACGTAAACTCCTCCCGATCCGACCCGTCGCGGTCGCTGCTCTCGCAGGGAGGGAGGGGGAGGGGGCTTCTGCGTGCGTGGGGTTGTTTTTTTTTTTTTTTTCCTTTTCTTTTCTCCCGCACCTGCCTGCCTGCCTGCATGCCTGCACAGCAGCGACGACGACGACGACGGCTGGGGGAAGAAGGAGAAGATGAGGGCAAATCAACAAACGAAGAAGAGAATTCGGCGGGTGAATCAAAACAGAATGAACCGATGTACAGAGGCGTTCAGGATCTGTAGAGGGTGTGTGTGGGTGTAGGGGTTGGTTGGCGCTGCAGGCACCCGCGGCGTGGGGGACAGAAGGAGAGTGAGAAAAAAGAAGGAGGCATGACACGATGCAAAGCGAAAAGTAGGGGGAAAATAAATAAATAAATAAATAAATACTAATAAATAAATATTAATAAAGAAACACGCCAATTTCCTTTTTTTTTTTTTTTTTTTTACGTTTCCCTCCCTGTGCTGCCCTTTCGTACGGGTAGAGGCGCCTTCAGTGTACTTTTATTGAGCACACGGAGAATACCAACGAGGAAACGACAAGTAAACACACGATGTAATAACGCTTACTGTAATCAGCAATAAAACATTTGGTCAACCACGAGAGGGGGATGGGGGGAATGGAGGAGAGGGGTACAAGTAAACATCCTTCACCACTGCACAGGCTATGACGTCCTTCAGAGCTGCGATATATATATATATATATATCTTGACGGCCTCGTGTTTGGAAGAATCGTCAATTCTAATCGGTTTTTTTTTTTTTTTTCCTGTTTCCCCTCCATCATACCCTGTGCCGAGGCCAACGGGACCTCCTGGTTGCTATCGTTGCACTGGTCAAACAACCAGCAGCCACCCTCAGCCGTGCACGCACATGCACACAGCTGTGACAGGAAACACAGGCCCGCTGCTTCCTATTCCATTTATTAGTTTTATTTTCATTTTTGCTTCACTTCTTTTTTTATTTTTATTTTTCTCCCACTGGGCAGAGGAGTGCACCTTTTTTCCTTTTCTGCTTCAATTCTGCGGAGGGGATGCCACCGACTGCGGACGGCCGGGCGTACCCATTGGGGGATGTGCCGCTTCGTGCGGTCTTGCGCCGCTCATTGGAGGAACCACCGGGCTCGCCGCTCACGGCGTGTGGGGCGGGTGTCGTGCAGACGTCACCGACCCTGTCGTGGGTGTCCGCCGAGTCGCTCGACAGCATCATCTCGCTGGCGAACCGGACGGAGGAGCAGCTGGAGCTGGACGGACTGATCTACCGCCTGTGCCACTCCCTGTACTGCGTGGCGAAGAGCAAGTCCGCGCGGATGCACCGGCGCCCCGCGAACGATGGGTACGCGTCGGTTGGTGATAATGCGAGCCGGTTTCACAACATGCGTGGGCACGAGGACTGGTGCCCGCTGCGCCACCTCTTTGACCCGTCAAGCTACTACCACTCGGTGGGGAAGTCGTTCAATCCGCATGTTGGGTGCAGATGTCTCGAGGAATCGCATGGGCCGCTCGACGGCCCCGCAGGTGTGTCGCAGTGGCTGGCGGATGAGCTGGATGTGACGCGACTCTCTGGCGGGAATAGTAACCACGTGTACCGTCTTGGCCACGCCTCGTACCCCGGGAAGGCCGTTCTGCTGCGTGTGTACGGTGACAGGGGCGGTGAGGCGATTGACCGTGCGCGGGACATAAAGGCGATGCGGCTGATGAGCGATGCCGAGATGAGTCCAGCTGTGCTGCACAGCTTCCACTGGGGCCGCGTGGAGGAGTTCATGGACGGTGTGTACACGTGCACGACGGATATGCTGCTGGCGTCGCCATCACTGCTGGGCGACATATATGAGGGACTGTGCCGCATGCATCAGCTGGATGCGACCCCGTTTCTGCCGGAGAACGTGAAGGGCGCCAAGTTTGTGGGCCGAGTAGTGACCCCGTCGATGAGCGTGGACGAACTGGCCTCGTTGATGGAGGGAGCTGCCGGCTACTACGGCAACCTGGTGCGTGAGAAGGCCCTGGAGAGCGTGTGCCCAACGTCGTTTGAGCGTGCGAGTTTCCGCCTGCTTCGACTGCTGTCATCGCACGTGGTGGAGCCGCACCGTCGGTCGCTGGTGGACTGGCTGGCGGGGGAGATCATGTTTTTGCGCGGCGAGCTGCTGCTGCGTGGCGTCCCTGTTGTTTTCTCGCACAACGATCTGAATCCCGGGAACATCCTGCTGTCGAGGCGGCAGGTGCCGGTGGCGTTCCGCAGGAGCGACTCTTTGACGAGCCTTGACGACGCGGAGAGCACGGCGGAGTCGACGCGCCCCATGTGGTGCGGCGGTGTGGGGGCAAAAATCTAGTGGAGCGTCGCGGGTACCTTTTCATTGACTTTGAGTACACGGATGCGAACTACCGCTGCTTTGACCTTGGCAACACGCTGTGCGAGCTGGACTACGACTACACGCGGGGCACGGAGGCGGGTGGTCGCGGGTTCATCAAGTTTCTGAGCGTGTTCCCGCCCGCGGCGAAGGCGGATGCGTGGCGCGGGCTTGGGGAGGAGTACCCGCGGCTGCCGGAGCTGATCGTTGACGCCTGGCGGCGGGGTGACGTTGACGGGGAGGCGGGGGACGTTGGCACTGCCGCGTTGCAGGCTGTGCGGAGGTACTTTGCGACGAGCAGCGGGGCGCCGGTGAGTGAGGTCTCGGTAAGCGAGGCGCATTTGGTGGAGCTGCTGCTCGGCATGCTGGCGTCGCACCTCCACTGGACGCTGTGGGCAATCGTGATGGGCTGCGCGCCCGACGAGTGTGCCGACTGCGCAGTGGACACGGAGGCATTTGCTCTTGGGGGCAGCGGTCTGGACTACGTGCGCTACGGTGAGTGCCGGCTGCGGGAGTACATGGCACTTCGCCAGTGGCTTGTGAGCAACGCATTTATTTAGGTGGCTCTGTGTGTTTTGTTTAGGAGAATTGGTTACATTGGCGGTATAATGTCGTGTGCATTTGAGGGGTCAACGGAGTGAACTCATTTCTGCTGTTTTTGATCTTCAAAGTTTTTTTTTTTTTTTTTATTTTCTGCTTTTAATAGAAAACGAAATTTATCTTGCGGTGCTGTGTAAGAAATGGTTTTATTCATATTGCTGTGTTGTTACCATTATTGATTTTACTACATTTTCATAATGTTGTATGCGTCACGTGAATCAATTTACATGTATGTATAAATACATACGTACATACCGTATGCTGTTATTATTGCTATTTTTTTTTTTTTTATTATTTATTCCTGTTGTACGTTTTTTTTTTTTTTCTTTTTTCTATCTGTATCTATGTCCCTACTCGTATATAAAATTGTATACATGTATAGATATGTGTCTTTATTGGCGGTTGTGGGTGGTATTGTGTTGTGATTGTGGAGGCTTCCCTTTTTTTTTTGTTCTTGTTGTTGATAGAGGAAGAGGAAGGGAGGAAGGGAGGCGGAGGGCCATGGAGGCTGGCAAGAACCCGTACAATGGACGGGTGTTGAGTCCCCGCTACTACACGTTGTTGCGTGGACGCGAGAAGTTGCCGGTGTTTGCTGCAAAGGATAAAATTTCACGACTTGTGGCGCGTTACCAGACACTTCTTCTGGCGG